TTGTTGATCCGATATTTCAGTAACAAAGCAATGAAGAGAAATGTTCTTTTTACCAAGCGATAGTCCATGAAGTTTACTACAGAAAAGGTTCTTATCGTTTTTGAATCCGATGCTTCCTTTAGTTTCTACAATTGTTCTACAAATGGTCACTCCAGTGACCAAGGGGGGGTAAAGGGTTAAGGGCTCCCCCCTCAGAAACAGCGATTTTCGGTCAAAAAAATCGGTTTTGAGATACGCACATGAAAACATAGCCTGAAGTGTCTACTTTCAGAATCTGTATCGCTTTTGGTTATAAAAGTGGTATTTCGCGGATTTCGAGCAAGTTTTCTACGAGCTTCGAAAAACCGGGTCTTCAAATCATAGGTTTTTCCTGGATATTTATGCAATTAAGATTTTTCTGAACACAAATATTTGCAGAGCAAACTTTCCTAATCAAAATAAGATCTCGCACAATTCTGTATGACCTTGCATGAAAAAGTTACAGGCATTTTCCTAGAAGTCCTAAAATCGAGTATTTCATGCAGCGTTTAATACAGTCTTTTCTCTATATAAGAGTTAGACCTGCAGTGCATCCCAAGATTTTTAATAGCGGTTTGTCGCAGAGAGTTTATTGTTTTTTTGTTTAAAAGAGGAAAAGAAACTACATGGACTGACCGGCGCCGATTTTTGAATTAGGTCTTAGTTTTTTGTCAAACTGAGGATTTTTAGAAAACCCGGAAGGATTTTTCGGGTTTTGGAGGTTGTTGGTTACCTGGAAAACCGATAAAGGCTGAATTGAAAAATCGGCGCCGGTTAGTGGATGTAGTTAGGTGTCTAGTTTAAAATGAAACAAACCTGAACTCTCCAGCTTGAAGTATATTAAAACGTCTTGGGACGCACTTCAGGGTCCTTTCTGCACCTTGATCTCTGGAAAACTCCTGAACCGTAAGACTAGTAGACAAAAAAAATTTTTCATTCACGTAACTCATTGTGCCTAACATTTATGGAAAGTTTCGTCAAGATCGGATATACGCTGTTGAAGATAATTTCTGAGGGGAGCCTTAAAATGATCTATAGCACGTCTTTTCAAACTAATATCTTCATAGAGTTATTGGTCAAACATTATCTATGACTATTTGCTTTCCATATATGTAACTCTTATTGAATATAATAAAATGGATATAGTTTTGTCAGCGCACTCAGACTCGGAATGGTTTATACATAGAAAAATGTAAATTTGAAAGGACTACAAAATGAGCTATAACACATTGTCCTAACAGTTTGCCTTCGTACATGCATTAGACAAATACTTGACAGGTATCTCGATTTTTTCAAATCAAATAATTCTCACATTCAAAAGTATAAAATTGTTCAAATGAACAACATCGTATAATTCATTTCATTTGCTTTTCTAACTCTATTATAGTGATTGACCGAATTTTGTGACTGCGTCTATAAAATCCAGCCACACGCTATCGATCAGAGTGACAAAGGACATCTACATCAGAAATTAAACCATTGATAAGATCATTTTTTGATAATAGTTATTTTTCCTGTTCGTGCTCAATGTAACTGAAGCATTGTGTATTTTTTCCTTGGAATATATAAGACATTTTATCCTTTTTTTTCTTTTCCACGTTCCGGGTATATTTTTTATAAAATCAAAATAACTTTTTTTCTTTCATCATTTAAAATAAGGTTCAAGTACTTTCATTAAAGATGAGAAATGAAAAGAAAGTTTGTTTGCATACACTGTTGCTACATATTTTCTGAACGAACATGTTTTTTTATACATGTGCCAATGTTGTTTACATAGTGGGTATGATTGGCTATTTAATTATTGATATTGTGGGAATAGTAAATTCAAAAACAATTGAGTCAACACCATTTTATATCGTTTATGTTCTCTTGGCCATTATGTTTGTCATTGATGCCATTTTATATACGTTGAATTGGTATGTTAATGCTATACACTTACGAAAAAATCGATCTGATCCAATTAATAATAAAATTGAACTAGTTGCATGTTTATTTAATCTAATTGGTAGTATTATTTATTTATTAGGAGCAATAACAACGACACAAACAAACAATGCTAATGCTAGCACTACGACTATCACCACAACAGTATCAACGCCAACATTTTCAAATATACCTTCTTTCGTTTTAAATATAATTGGAATGTTATCATTGACTGTGGAATCAATTTTAACAATTGTTAATTGGAAAAAAAATTTCAAACCAAATAATAAATTATTTCTAAAAAACGTTGAATTTTGGGCTCATTTGTTGAATCTAATCGGTAATCTTGTTTATTTAATAGCTCATATTGTACAACCAATTGTAACAGTTATATCAAGTTTTACAACATCGTTGTTATCACAATTAATCAATAATATATTTATTATTATTCGACCTATTCAAGTTGCAGGAGATTTTATCTATTTAATTGATTCTATTTTATATACACTTGTATGGCTAAAAGTTGACGAAAGACGTATTAACCCCTCTCGGATATTTGATGCCTGGACATCAAATAGAGTTGTGTCAGCATTAGTCACACGTGAAAAGACAAATGTAAAAGAAGACAAGAAAGACGCAGAGGAAAAAACACAATCGATACCCACCATAAGTACAATTGTCGATGCAAATCAGGATGAAGTGAAAGATATTGAACAAGAAATAACATTATAGGATTTTTTGTCTGATTCATGATGTTCATGTTCGCCTTCCCTTAGAATTAATTTCGGAATATCCTGTCGTCATAAATCCAGTTTCATAAATCACACATTTATGAAACTTGAATGTTTAATTTTGTAACCCAGAAGTTACATAAAAATGAAAAATTTTATGAAACTTTTTACAAGTTTAATATGACTCTCCGAGAAATATTTTCTTAATTAATTAGCACATGTCTCTTAGAGACCTATTGTTGTTAATTAAATTGGTTTTGTTTGGACATGTCTCTAAGAGACTTATACATAGCCCTGTTGTACATAGCCCTGAAATATTAGTACCTCTATTTTGTTGAGTCACTGTTCTCTAAGAGCCTCGTATAGCACCTAGAGACACGCTAATACTGTTTTTAATTAAACAAATTATTATTTTCAATTAAAATATCACCAACACACATCTCTGTGTGACATATACCAATTATATAATGTTATATGTCCCTAAGCGACATATTAATACTACAATTAATTAAGAAACTAATTAATTGAACCTGAAACAACATGTCTCTCTATACCAATTAATCAATTAAACATCCCACTAAGAGACCTATGTGACATTTTGAAAATACAGATTTCATAAAATTTAGGAAACTTGAATGTTTAATTTTGTAACCCAGAAGTTAAATAAAAATGAAAAATATGATTTATGAAACTGAATTTATGAGTTCTCCTTGCGAACCACGATGAAACAATGAATAGTTTATGTTAGCAGAGATTTTCTGGACTCTGGAGGGTTGACGGTGGATGAGGTGGTGATGAAGCAGAAAGCTTATGGAACGATCCCCGTGTGAGAGACTTATTTCCTTTACTTATAAGTCCTTGAGAGGTTATTGTACGTGTGCTTTATAATACGTAGTGAATGTATATTACACTTTTATTACGACCACTCTTTAAAAAAAGTTACAACCTACTAAAACTAAAAAACTATTCGGTTCCATATATCTTCTACTTCATGCCAAAAGATAAGAACGAAACAAAAAGAAAGAGAAAAAGAAAAAGAACAGGAACAACGAGACAACAAAACTACCAACAAAGACAAGACAGAACAAAACAAACTAACATACATGTATATGAAGATAATTTGTACATAGTGGAAAGAGAGGTTGTGACAAATAATCGTCACACCCCGCAAAGTACTTTTATCGAAGCTTGACGAGGTACGGGGCGATGACGAGATAAGAAGTTTGCGAGGCGATCCCAACGAGTGAGCCAAGAATAATCCATCGTTCGCCTCTAATAGACAAGCAATTGTATTCTATATATCGTCTGTTGGATTAAATCTCTACAAATACTATTCAAACAAGCGTGTTCGAGAAATTATCACAATATAAAATGTCGAGTTAATCAATCATACTTATCACAAGAAATATAAAATCAAAAGAATTATAAAAAATATTTGAAAGAAGCGTACAAAGAAATGAATCAGACCGTTTCGTTAGAATTTTACAGAATTTAAAATAAGAAAAAAAAAATAGAAAAAGTTTGAACATTTGACAAAATATGTTGGATATGTTTACTTTGAGTATAGACAACAATCTTAAATTATTCTAGTTGAAAAAAATAGTTTTTCTTTAAAGTTCTAATTGTTTTGTATCCTAGGAAGTATTGAAACACGTTTAGATAAATAATTTAGTTCTTATCATATAAATGTATCAATGTTCATGCGAGATAGTTTATAATGAGACTAATATTTACTATTTAGTAAAAAAGTGGCCAAATATTTATAATCTCCCTATTTGTTTAAAAGTATTTTTATGTAAAATTGTGTTTATTGTACGGTTTTGGAACTAATTGTGATTCGCGTAATTTTAACTCATAAACTGGAGACGGATACAAATAATAATATCCAAACAGCGTATAATGCACTACAAGTTCCTACAGTAGAAAAACGTAAAATCATATGTAAAAAAAATTGGGTGATGGACTAAATAATACTCTGAATGAAAGATGGCTAAGGTAAACGATCTATCTATGCTAAGCTTACCAAATTTAAAATGTTGATTTTGCACGATGCTGCAGAATAAAATCAGTTGTCATATGAAAAACTTGTTAGAGCATCTTATGATAGAATTCTTTTCTATAAAGAATTCTAAATTATTTGAATTTTCAATGACGCAACTTAATCGAGAAATTTTAAGATCTTGTTTGTCAGAAACCGACTACAGATTTGGACTCTCCATAGTATATTGTACGTAACGAGAGGACGAAAATCTGTTTAAACTTCCAAAGCTGCTTCTGGAAAACTTCAGGGATAGATTTCTTAGAATTACTCATTACTATCCTAACAGATGACATTCATCATGTACTCCAAGTAGACTTGTGCAATCCGAGTCGACTTAACGGTTGGGTACGGCTGTGAAGTTGTCAGGTACATATAGAACAGTTACCGATACGGGTTCCGTTTTTTAAAATTCACCCAAAAATCGGAAGATTTTATTGGAAAACTACAAAATTTTCGTGAAAAAATCCAAAAGTTTACTCAATAATAACTTGAAATCTTCAGCCGAAAAACAAAAGCTTTTAGCTGGAAACCGAAAAGCAGAAGAATGTTTAGACATAAGTCGGATACGGGTAGAGGAGCCACGGGTACGGATAGGTACAGATGAAAAAAAATTTACCGGTCGGAAAACGGTACTCGTATACATCTCTAATACGCCGTTGGGATTATAAGCAAGCAACGTGTACAACATAATAGTCCGATGTACAATACAATGACTTATAGCTGCTAGAATTGTTGGAAAGAAAATTAAATAGCAGTCTTAGATTTTTTCGTTGGTATCGATATAAAATCCATTTTGACTTAGATATTTGCTATTTTTGGACGGCTTCCTTTTAATTAAAAGCTGTTTAAAGAAGATGGAGAGTTTACATGTTGATCGTCAGAGCACATAGTTCACTTAATGTTGTGGTTGTTTTTCACAAGAACTGTTGTATAGTATTACCGGCACTTATTGTGATAAAACATAAAATGACCGAGAAAGTGGGTAACTTTCATGCTGGAAAATGGCAAACTTTCTTAAAGTTTCTAAAATTCGGAAACTCTCAAAGTGAAGTGTCACTCACGGTTGACCTTAAGAGCCTCCTGTCAAATGTCTACTCTTAGAATCTACAATGTTTTTGCCGATACCAAAGGTTTCTGATGGTTTCAGAAGAATTTTTCTAAAAAGCCTTAACAGAGCAACTCTTAGTCAAAAAGCTTTTTGTACTTAGAGATTGTCAACATGGAGTGTATTCTATGATCGTATATGATTTTCCTTTGGCTTGAAAAGGAAGGGTCTCCACAACGTTAATATGGTTTCTTTTTGCTCATAATTCGCGTCCGACTTCATGTCTGTTTGTTCACAAATCTGCGAACTTCCTGAGTGTAATAAGACTGCAGGTACAATGACGCGTTCTGCTTGTTTTACTGGAGCAACACACGTAATAAACGAGCTTGAAAAAATGTAGTTAAAACGTAGTACGCAGCTTACGAACCTTCAGAACTATTTCTACAAACGGTCTTAAACAATGCAACATTCTTTTTCCGAGTGTCACGTGGACAAATGAGGAATTTTTTCGAATCTCAGGCGGACTAAGGATGGATACTTCAAATCTCAGTATGCTTATGGTATTTGGTTTGTATCGGATCCACTAAGAAACCGTACTCAGTTTCCTGCAAGAGATCTCTGGAGTTACAACCAGTAGAACTATGATTTTCTTCGTGATCCAAGCGAGTTGTGATGAGGTTTCGGAAGAAAATGTCTTGTTCGTTTTGGTTTACCGGCTGTCACAAGAAAGTTTCAGTCATGGGACCCGGCGTATCAGCATAATGTATGTTACTTGTTACGCAGAACTCTCCAGAGATATCTGACTGTGACAAAAATAAAGTTTTCAAGCGAAGGGATCAATGAATGACCACATTCATCTTACTTGTAAAAAGTATACAATGTCTGTGGAATTTTTCCTTATATCTGATCTTACTTTTGTTTGTTCATCTTTTAGAATTTGAATTTGTCCGAATGTATTCTTCCACTCTTGCACAAATAGCAATTTTTCCTCTTTAACATCATTGTGAATCCATTTTGGTAAACCAAAAGTTTGCATCGGCGATGTTCCAAATTCGTACAGGTAAGAGTTGATTTCGAATACGTGAGACCAATGTAAGTCGCCCGATAATAAAATAACACCGGTTATGTTGTTTTCCGCGATATAAGCAAAAATTTTATTACGCTCAAATAAATAATCTACAATTAAAACAATTCAACTTTAATACTTTCAACGATTTTTTGTTATTTTGCTTACTTGCCCAAATATCGGGCTTTTGTGGCAAAAGTTTGCCAACTCTTTGAGCCCATGCCACAGGTGATGCAAGAAACTACAGCAAAAGAGAAAACATATTGATTGTGTTTTCCCAGGTCGAAAATAACGGTCGTAAACAACGACTTACGACCAAATGCGATCGTATTCTATTCAGACCTAATGCGTTATCGTATACAATCGTCATAAAAAGCCGTACATGACTGTAAACGGTCGTAAATATTTTCTTTACTGCCATCGTATACAACAGCATATCACGTCTGCATGTATACGACGATTTACGACCAGATTCGGTCGTTTACGATCCCATAACTACCGTAAATCGATCGTAGTAGACGTATATGATGGTCGTTTTCATTGTCCTAGATTAAGTGATACATGTACATTACTTTAAACGTTGAAGTTGAATCTTTTAACCATTTGAATAGTACTTGTAATTGTTTTGCTCCTAGTTTTGTTTTATCAGAACTATCTTGTTGATAAATGGGTGAAGCATATGCACGCTAAGAAATAAAACACATAAAAAATCAATGATACAACGTTTCTCACTTACCGTATCTAGAACAAAGAAAGAAACATGTTTTCCATAATCAAATGTAAAATAAAATTGTTTTTCATTATCAAAATCAGAACTAGATAGAGTGGGATTTTTTGATCCAACATATTTTTTCCAGACAGAAATAGATGAATCATAGATTTCCATACCATCATCCTAGATAATAAGGATTCTATATTGTATAAAAGCAAAGTGTTTCATAACAATGTCTCATTACCATGTTCCAATCATTTTGTATTACTGATCAACAAATTAAAATTTGGATTTACTGTGATTCTGTATGCACGAATAACACAGACGATTTTGGCTATCAAATATTAACAAAAGAAGTTGAAGCAGATTGGATCACTCATCGCTTTCAACCTCGACTATCGGACGAACATGTTTATATACTGAACAATTTAAATTCGTGTACTCATTATGAGTACAAAGTACATCTAACTTCATCCAGAAATTATTCAGTATTCACTCAAATCGGTGTTCAATCTTCATTTCACACCTCTCCTTCTTCTAACGAATCAACGTGTTTTTCTGAACGAGAATCATTATTTACATTTGTATTCGGATCATGTATTCAGCCCTCACCCTTCAAACATATAACGGCTTTTCAGGTAAAATAAATTTTATTTATTACGGATGCCGTGGTATTTATTAATGACCATCTCCGTATTTTTGACATAAATCTTCTCCATTACATTGTTCAATCTTAAACTTCTTTCAAAAGATGCACCTTTAAATTCTCTCCAAAAAACGTATTGAACATTTTGTTTCCTATTTTAACAATAAAAAGGCTATGGGGATAATACTGCGAAACTTTAACTTCTATCGCTTTCCAACCTCTTTTTCGATTTTTATCTTTCATGTTTTGAAGTATAAAGACGAGAAGACAGTCATCTTATAGCCCTTGGAAAGCTCTATCAAATGGCTATATTTAGCATTTTTCAAAACCAGAGGTGTTTGGGGAGAAAATCTTTTCTTTTCTTAACTACACCGACAAAAACTATCATTTTTAAACAACAGTTCCGTACTACTCACAAAATCCTTTCGAACTTGGTCGAGATCAAAACATATTGAGTTGGGATTTGTATTATTTTGAAGAAAAATAACACATCGTACTCATTCAGCTAGAGAACGTTCTAAAACTTCCTTTCTTCCGCTATGTTAAGTTAAAAGAGCTTATTTTTTAAGCGAATCTTACGAGGGAACTACCCCAACTAATCTAGCGCTTTCGACTCCATATTTTGGCCATTGACAGACCTTGTTGAGACTAAGAAAACCCTAAAAGCATTCGTGCCCATGGTCCTTCGTTTCTGGGATATTTGAATTACAAGTGAATTTTCTCCTGTGGTACTGGTTTTTCCTGAAAACCTGAAATGTTGAATTTCAACTTGAAACTTTGCACAAATGAATACACAT